GGTGTTCCCGGTTTGCTTCTACTGCCCCACAAAAGAGGGGGGGGGGGGGGGGGGGGGGGGGGGGGGGCTGAGCCCCCCTCTACAGCTTTTTTTCTGGTTACGCCCCTAATCTACACCCACACTCAAATGAAGATGCCGGTATTTTACATTGAAACTGACAGTATCAAATGTTTCTATACAAACACTCACAACAATCGACTAGATCGAGATGTTATCAGTCAATGGTCAATAATGTTGGCAGAATGTAATACAAATTCTTCTCATCCTTATATCTACATGCAATCGCATGAAATTTATAACTTTTTGTTGAAAAGTCAACAGCAGTAAGATAGGATGTGATTGGAAGCTTGTTCGATCGATCGAATTTATTTTAATTTTATTCACAGATCTTGTAGCTTGTATTCTTATACATCGTCTCTAAGAGATTGTTTTTACCTCTTTCGACTGGTTTATTTATCTTCTTCAAACGTTATCTTCAATAGAACACGATTGCTCATAATCGAAATATTCTCAATAAAGAAAAACCAATGAAAACCTTTAAATACTTTTATTAATTATTGATGTAGCAATTCCAAAACCTTTGTATTGACAAAAATACACGAGAAAAGGCTCTCTTTCATCTCATTCACATTCTCAATTTGTTTCTGTCAAATCGTGTGAACAATATCAATGTTCTCATATTCAATCAACTTTGTCAATAAACTTCTATTTTTTTTTAATTGTATTACATCGACAAACAATTGACCGTTGAAATTAAATCGTTATGTATTATAATCAACCTCGATTAAATTACATTCAATTCTATTTTTGATAGTTTTATCATTTTTTTCAAAATTTGAAATTGTTTTTTATCTAATAGATTAAATAGAATATTTCTATTTTGTAAAGTATAACGCTAACGATCATTTATCAATAATGATTTCATTCAACATACTGTGGTGTACTGAAAAATATTTGTAAAAGTTCATTATGTCCATACGATTAATTCCAAATAAATCATTTAAAACTTATGTATATGAATCATTAGAGTTTTCAATCTATGATACAAGTTATTGTAAACAATATTCATAAAGAAGAGTTTTTTATATATCTATTTCTGTTGTTTGAATTAATCTATCACTATTCTTTTTATTCAATCGTTTGTTCAATGTTATCAATAGTAGAACTAAATTAACAAGAAAATGTTAATAGCGTAAATTACTCGTACATGATTCAAAACTGGTACCATTGGAATCGAGTAGTCTTACTGACTATCAAGAAGTTTATCTTTGTTTTCTCACTAATCAAAATAACAACCGATTCGATTGTCGTGTAGTTCGATGTAGCCTCTCGATGGCGTTAATGGATGTCAGACACAAAAAGTGTAGTGACATTTTGTGCTGAAAAGTTTATTGTCATAGATGATGAAATGTAAGAAATAACGATCATTATTTGTCCAAATTTATTATGATTCCTAGTTATAGGGAAACGATTGCAAAATTCAGATGATAAATAGAGAAAAAAAATACATCAATTCGTGTTCTCGAATTGAAGAATACAAATCTAATACTTAGAGTTGAAATCAATAATTTTGGTATTGGATACAAAAAATGCCATCGAATCTGAGTGAAATCTTCCTGCATTCAATTGATTTGATAATAAATGTAAGTATTATTCATGTATTCCATCGGGCGAATCATTTCAGCTGACTGATTGACAAGGACATAATGTTTCATCATAGTCTCCATTCGAACTTGAATAATAGATCAAACGATACTGATCTCTTTAATTAATTTGACGCTTCTAATAGGAATCTGAAACAAAATGCAAATTTTCTGATCGATTCTATAATCAACGTTTGTGTTTACCTTTTGGTGATGCAAGAAAAATATAGCATTGTGTCAATAATATATATTTGATATATTGAAATTGATTTTTCCTATTCTAATTAGAAGCAACATGTTTTTCTAGAATTAGCTATCTAAATAACCATAAAATAAGTGTGAATGTTCAACAAAAATAGTCTAGAATTTCCACACTACCCGTCAGGTATAGTCTAAAATGCCTTGCACACCTGTCAGGACTGATTGCCTACCTTTTTGAGAAATGTCCTTCAGTTATGTTTGAACTCTTTCAAAACTTAGTTACATTCGTCATGTCTGGTCCGTTACATATTCGAATAAATGGACGTACCTAATCATAATTTTTTCTGATCAATGAGTTCAATATATTAGAGTCAAGGGGCACACGAATCGCTTTTTAAATATCATTACAACAACGGCAGGTTTTCAGTATGGATGAAAATGTATGCATGACAGTTCTTTACATTAGAATGACTCAAAAAAGAAACAATACATTTTAAACTTTCGGAATTTTATTGATGAGTGATAAAAATTCAGTGGCAAGACGTAATATAAGAGGGAAAGATGCAACTATAGTGCTTCGAGGTACTACAGCCGTGTATTATGTCTTTGGTGTAATACATTCGAAACTACTTGTTTTTTAACTTCTTACAGTCATAATTATTCTTCAATGCCATTCACAATATAAAAGTCTTTGTGCGACTGCTGTATTCGGATACTATCTGACAAATTGATTAGCATAAGTTTAGTAATAAAGTTTGCATTGTGACAACGATGATATCATCAAGTGCTGAATAAATCCGAAGTATCATCCGATAGACAATGTCTTTGACTGAATTTTAAAGGAAAGAAGTCTACAGATGACAAAACTGAAAACTGATTTATCAACTACAAAACTTCCCATTCTAAAATTCTTGAATATCTTGTGGGAACACTTCCACATTTGGACAGAGTACCATGAAACTTAATATCCGTTTAGATCAATTTTATATTTTTCTGTTATATCTTACCTTCTGACAATATTTCTAAGAAGAAATGTATAAATATAAATAGGAAAAGGTCTAATATTCGAGTTGAATCAAAATATAAACTCACTCTAATTATCTATGAAATTAATTATTAGTATTCTACACAATCATCTTATCTTATATTTTCTTATTCTGGTCAATTCGGTTGAGTGAATAGTTTGTCAAGAGCTCTAAAATATGTCTCAACAATTTACATGATAAATTTTATTGCATACAAAACAATCATTCAAAAATAAACTTTCAATGTTTATGAAATTGTAGGAAAAATCACTCGTGGATTAGCACATAATCGTACCATTAACGGTGCAATATAATCATAAGCGACACGAAACATAATTTTTACATTTTGATAAAAATTAGGTGAAGCAATTAGATAAACATAGAACATAATTGCATGTGTAAGAAAACCAATCAAGACGCATACCGTATTCATCAATGTTTCTTGTGCCAAACGAAGTGAACTCTTGTATACTGTTCTTGTAGAAATAGTATAAACAGAAAAAATGGCACTTGGCAAGCTAGTAATAATAATAACAATAATTTGTGCAATAATCATACGTGTTATTTGATCATGTAAACGATGACCACCATGTAAATATGTACCAGGTAATTGACCAAGAGTATGCCAGATCATAAAACAAAGAATAGAAAGTACTGTTATTGGAATAACACTATAGACGAAAAAACTTATAAAAGGCATTGATTGAATCATTATGGGATCAACCAATCGACAGGAACCTGATGTTGGTGCAATAAAATAAATAGCATAGATTGAAAAGAGTCCCAACCAGACAATTGCGGCAAATACTATAGCACAACGAGCTTGATTCAATGTCATCTTTGAACGATACTGAGATCGTGCTAAAAGATATCGATCTACAGCTGCTAAGCTAACACAAGTAAGGGAAAAAGCACCACTAGCAGGGCCTATCATCCAACGAGCTTTGCAAAGAAATATTGAAGCAAACAATGGATCATATCCTGTCAAGCCAAAAATGATTCGTAAAAGAGTTCCTGTTAACATAACACATTGACTACCAATGAATGAGGCAAAAAGAAATAAAGAACTGGCTAATGTATTTAGACTGTCAAGACGAACAAACAAAATCATATCAAGTACATTACCAAACGTTCCAATAAAAAATATAACTAAACTGACCCAACCATACAAATTTTGAGAAATCTGTAACAATGTTATAGCCGTAATATTAGCATTCATTATAATAATTTGGTTGTGTCTTATGCCTTAAGAATATGATTTTTAATTATAACAAAAAAAAAAAGAAAAATGAGTTTAGCTACGCAATAAGAAAAGACGGAAAATGACTAATGATGCTCTTCACTTTCTATAAAAGCACGCTACTTTTTAAAATGAAGTCAATAGGTATAGAAATAAATAGATACGAAATACAACGTGCAAAAAAATCATGTAAATAAGGTCAAGATAAATTAAAAGCATTAATTAAAATGTAGTTTGTTTAATTGGTTTAAAGTGAAAAAAGAACATAATCATCAATTATCTAACAGTTTCTTTTAATCTATCATTTTTCTGATGGAATATGATATATATATATTAAAATCAAAAATTATCAACAAAAAAAAAAGCAAATAATTTTATTTCATGTTAAGAGAAATCATTATGTTCTTGAATGTATAATTGAAACAGATTAAATATAGTTGGATTGTGAATTGTAAACAAATTTAAGTTCTTCTTCCTTAAAAAATAAAATCTCTCACCAGTTTCGCTTCCTCATCTTCTCACATCACCGAAAGTTTCAGTTCCATTGCTCCTCATCTATTAGAGATATAGGAATTTTAATACATATGTGTTTTATGCAAGAATCACCGTTAGGACTTTTCATATCTTCAACCCGATTGTATTACCTCATTGTGTCTACTGTCTTCTTGAAACATATATTAAGTTAAAACACTTGGTCAAACTGCAACATTCTAAAATAGAAATATAAACTTTGATAATCAAAACATTGTTATCGTTTAACTAAGGTCTATCTAAAAAAAAAAGTCACAAGAATCGCTAGCTTCAAATGTCTTATTTAAAAAGAATCCAATCTACCTGAATGAGCTAACATAATGGCGTTGGAGATTGGAAAGCACTAGCAATGAATCTCATATAAAAAGACATACCCAGTAATATTGTTATAATCTCTGGGAGAGAAAAATAAATGAAACTGAATTGTTCGGTGGTATTCAAAAACTAAATCTATAATAAAGTTTCATAAAAGAATAAAATACAAAGATTTGATCACAAAATTTCTTTCTCTTCTATATAAACCAGTTAAGCACAAAATAAAAAATCATATTTGCTAGAACGAATTTTCATGACATACATCAATAATTGCCCTAGATTTCCATGCATATAAAGTTAAGTTCGTTCATTCATACTCATAAAACATGTATATACTTGCAATAATATTGTAGAATAAATGAAAAATAAACAAAGATAAAGACACCATGATACATCGAAAAGAAAACTATAACTTTTCTTAACGCAGCATGTGTACAACAAAACAGAATCAATCCTAATCCCACTTCACAGATTATGATTGACATTTCAAGTATGTGAGAAGGCGTGTATGTAGATTCCAGTGTTGAGATGGGTGTGGATATGGGAACAGATGCAGAAAAGACACCCAGACTCAACTTTCTGGGTAAGTTGAAGAAAGAAAATCAATTACAGAAATGAGATACGAATGTAAGCTCCGATAAAAAAGACTGAAATAGACACATATGTTATATGTATGAACAAGTTAGAAAAATCCTAATTGCATCTTAAATTAATATGCTCGGAAAAATCTCCTATATGACATAAAGAAATATGGTGGGAAAATCCAACATGCGACATATGTAAATGTTCTCAAATTCTGTATTATAGCAAGAACGTCAAACTCTTCTTCCTACGTTCTCTAAAGAAATTAAATATGTATCTTGAAAGAAATGTTCAATATCGTTACTTATTCCCTTCTCTTTGTCGAAGTTGTCGTCTTACAAAACATACAAAACAAATTTTTTTTTTAGTCATAGCTGAAGTCCTTCCCAGATTTACTTTTTTCGAATTCATAAGACAAACATAGTGTATACTGTTCGTGATAATGTCTTGCTGCCATTGTTCCTGTTCATACAAAAGTTTACCTATATTACATGGTATTATTGGTTTTCTCGAATGTATTCTTGGTATAATGCGTCTTGTACTTTTCTTTTCATCACCTTCTTCGTCCACAAACGTTTCATCCAGCACAAATACAGGAAATATCAATAAGAAAATGTATAGTAAGAAATATGTAGTAGCATTTATCATTGATTCGATCAGTTCAATTGTACTCACACTAGTTGGATTATTTACTACGCTAATTATTCTTGTAATACTTTATAAAATATGTGCTTGTTTGACTAATAGCTATAATCGACAGCATGGAAATAATGAAGATGAAATTAATACAGATGGCATACTAACTCATTTATTAGAAAACAAAGAATTGCGTCGTTTTCTTATAGTTGATTGCAATTGTCCATGCTATAAGTCTAGGCCTAAACGACGATTTCAAGTACGGTTTGCTTTAATTATTCTGTTTTTTTATTTTACGTATTGTGGCTATTGAACTCTATGCATCACCATCCGATGATGACTATGATGGTAGAATATTAGCTGCTATTTGTGCTTTTTCACTTATCTTTTTATTTACTACGTTTTGTCTAGATTTATATCGTTATTGTGTTTGGTGGCATTATACACCTTATGGTGATACTCGATGTCATAGGTGATCGAAAAAACATGAACGATATATACCATATCATATGGCTGGTGATAATCGTGATCCAAGATCATTAGGTGATCGACCTGGTCGCGAACAACCGTGTCATAAAAGAAAACTTGATCATATTGCAGTATTTCATTCGACAGATTATCAGCCACAGGATCGCTGGAGAGATATTCACAAGCCACCACTGGAATTGCATACAACTACAAAGAGAATTTTTTGCTTTAATTTCCAAAACAAAGATCATCAACCTCATTATATAGACTTTCACACGACTACACCTGGAGCTGCTGTTTCAATTGCACATAGTAAATTTCAACCGAGTACTGGTGGATGGCTTGGTGCTAGTGCTTATTTTGCTCGATCAGTCGACGGAATAATTGGAAAAGCACGAACTGGTGGTGGTACTTATATTATTGCTAAAATTCGCATGGGTGAAGTATACGAAGTTCACCGAAATTTTATAGACAAAAAACATCCATTATTCAATCCTCAAGAGTATGACTTTGTTCATCGATCAAAATAGCAAAATGATTATGACACTTGTTATATGATCCATGAACATGATGATCGTGATGAATTTTCTATTAAAGATCCTGAAAGACAAATTGTGAAATGGGTCATTGTCGTTTAACGACCATTCGATTATAAAGTAGCAAGATATCAACTCGATACAGAATTCGATTCTACGAAATGTGGTTGTATTTAAGATAGAAATTGTCAAATGAACAATACATCCTAATTAGATGAAACAAAATCATTATTTGTTTTTTACATAGTCAAGGCATATTTGCACTAAATAAAGATCTATTTCAATCTATCACGCAATCAGAAAGTTTCATTAATATTTCTTCGTTGTTTATTTGTAAAAGACGATTGAAATGTGTGAATCATTTCTATATGATTGAAGAAGGACAATGTTTAATTAAGATTTCAAGGGTGTGTGGAGGTATAAATGTAGGGGGATGAGTGAAGAGAAGAACCACACCCATAACATATTCGATAGGCACTTTAGAATTTAAAAGTAGTTCAAAAAAATGCATTACACAGAGAATATAGTAAATTATTGCGTTTTATGCTCTATTTTTACAACTGGTAAACGTTAATAAATGTCGTCATGGCGAAATAATTGATGTTACCATAATTATTTACTTTTCATAAGACAACGAAAGCGGCCTTCCTCTCGGAGTTGAGTTTATTATTTTCCGAGTACTCAATTCGTATGTGAACGGTCGCTTGCCGTTCAAATTATACTGTTAGACTTCATTCTAGCTGTTCGTGACTTAGTCAAAACCAGATATTATCGATCTCCTATATTGTCAGGCAATGTTGTATTTACCTGCAAAATTTCTTTTTCTTTTTTTTTCTCTATTGATTGGTATATAGGAATATGACAAAAAATTGTTCTTCTCATGTTTTTCCTAGTTTGATACCATTTGCTTTCATTTACAATATAGGAATACTTACGACGAAACTCCCTCACTACATTACCCGATAGACTTTTTAAGGTCTACAAAATGATACTATTGAGTTGAGTCTAATTTATGGTTGAGACACTTTAATCAAACGCACAATGATCATGAGTGTCGAAAATTACCGTTTTTGACTAATATTTAATCGGTTTTGGTCAGAATTGAGATTACATAAAAAAAATAAACTTAGTCAAAAGCACCGCTTTTATTGTTTACTCATTTTTCATTTTGCGTTTTTCTAGATCTTTGAAATTTATTCTTTGATGTAATTCACCTTTCGTGCTCACTCCAAAACTATTCTTTTTTTTATTCATAGGAAGCCTGACTATTTTGACTAAAATCGTTTCGAATTAATCACAAACGGCGACTTTTGACACTTATGAACATTGTGTGTTTGATTAAAGTGCCATGGTCATAAACTAGGCTAAACACAATCCTACGTAGGATCAATTTTGTAGAACTTTAAAAAACCTATGAAATGATACATTATTCAAAGTAGACCGCTGCTTTTACATTGCAACAGTGAGAAGTACTGTATTTCCCTAAAAAATTTTGAACGTGTTTCCTGACATCTTTAATTGACACTATTAGGGGTGGGATGTGAGAATCAGTGTGAAGCGAAAACTGCTATCCACATCCATCGACATAAGAATATACACTGCCTTGTTAGTAGTTTTGTTTTTGAATATATTTCGCACACTATTATTTCTTGTTGTTGTACTTATACATCTTTCCATTTTTTGCATGCAATAAAAAATTTTCATCTCGCTGGTCGAAAGTCTCAAAATAAACATTGTTCGACTTTCTTTTTTTGGCTAAACTAATGCTATTCGTCTTTTCATTGCTCTCCTCATATTGTAAGTGTAAACGAACAATCTCATCTAAGAGAAAAGTGAAAAGAACATTTTTTTGCATACTGCTATATACTATTCGATAGAGTAAAGAAAGATCTTTCATTTTATATAATAGTTAAATTAAAGAAATTGAAACAGAGAAAGAAACTTTTCAAGTAAATACAACATTGCATGGCACTATAGTAGATCGATAAATATCGAGTTTTGAATCAGTCGCACGTAGTTGGAATGGAGTCTAATGGCATAATTTCAACGGCAACTAACTGCTTACGCTCAGATTGACTATTTGGAAAATAATAAACTGAGAGTTGAGAGTAGAGCCCTGCGGTTTCAATTTTTTTGGAACCGAGAACAGAACCGAGAACCGGATTTTTCTGTTTCTATTACCCGAACCGGAACCGGAATCGTGAAAAAAAACGGGTAGAACCAAAATGGGAACCGAAACCGTAAATCAATGACTTGCTATTTTATATGTTCCAGTAAATCGAAAAAAGCGGTTCCTTTTCGGTTTCGAGAAAATTTTAGGAACCGAAAAAAGAACCGCTTTTTTTCGATTTCGGGAACCGGAACCGACGGTTCCGGTTCGGTTCCCGGGTAATGTTAGGAATCGCAGGGCACTAATCGAGAGAAGATCGATTTCATCGTTTGCCAGCTCTCTTCTTTCCACTTTTTTCTCTACGGTTCTGTCTCTATTCATACAAATAAAAAATAAGTTGAGAGATTCTTCGTTTTATTTTTATATAAAAGAAGAATCTTATCAAGTAATCGTATATGTTTCTAATTTGTATCTTAGATATTTACAAAATAATGTCCCAACGTAAAGAATGGCCTGAATTGGTTGGACAAACATTCGATGTTGCATCTCAACAAATTTTAGAATTTGATAGCGGTAAGTTCAATCATCCAATTTAGATCTACATTCACTAAAAACTATCTGTTTTCTTCATAGGTTTAATGCCATATAATGCAAGGAATGGAATTCAAGATCGAATGTACATGCCAAATCGTGTCGTATGTGTCACAAATGATGATGATATTATAACGGAAGTTCCAGTTCATAATTATCAATAAAATATGTCAATAATGATATTAACCTGATTCATATATGAAACATATTTTATTGCTACATAGAAAAGGCACATTTTTTTGTTTAGCTTATTAGATTATTTCAATATAAACAATCTATTTCTATTTGTCTTGACTGCTTATTTTATTTAATTATTAATTAAAAATAAATAAATAACTGCTTTCATTAGTAGCTGAAGAATTGATGAAGCGTACTCTAAATAAAACAAAGCATGTGTTAAACGCGAAAATGGGATGGCACCGTGTTCATTGTCTTGCCGTCAACTCAGATTAATCGTATGATTCCTATCTTATTTGACTATTTTAGTAAATGCTGAGGTAAATGTGGCGATCATTCATTGAAAAAACACATGAGGGTATGGATGTGATGTAATTCTTGCATATAACCATCTTGGTTTTTTCTATATTAAATTGATAAAACTGATTTCCAAATGCTTTTTTTTTAGTTAATATTTTCTCTTTTCGAACTTTTTTTCATTGTTTTAAGTAGTTTTGATTTATATTCTTGTCATTTTAGTACAACTTCTTGTTGAATCTTTTTACCATATCATCTTTCTTCATGTTTTTCACTATCAGATTTATGATTCACGAAATAATCTCGAATCTAAAAAGAACTATATTTTTAAAATTTTAAACGAAAATTTTATTTTTACTTTTATCATATGTTTATCTGATGTGATCACTAGAGCATAACAATTATCAAGTCGTTTTATTGAAATTTGTTGCATTTCTAAATGCGAAATACCTTCGAGAACAGTAGATTGAACTTGAGAATAACTAGAAGATAAATAAAATTAATAGTTCTATTCGTTTTTGTTTTAATTAATTTACAGAAGCATTTCCTATCCAAAATCATGATCAACAAGTGTTTCATCATCATTTCTAGATAAATCAGATTCATTAATAAATACTGGAGTGTTCGTGCACTCGAGTTGTTTGATCCATGATAAATCAAGATGGATTTCAGCATATTTAGAAGTGATTGCTTTCTAAAAAAAAACTATCTATGACATTTATTTGAGAACGAAAATAAATTGATTTTGTTGTGAATTAATGGTCGTTTAAATTTTTGTTCGATGTTTAAACCATTTATTATCTCATAGAGAAGAATTAATAAAACTTTGTTTCGAAAGCTGACTGCATCAAATATAATTATTCACAGATGCAATAGTACAAACACTTCTCAGTTCCGTGTTGGTATGGGTTTCAAAATGACAGAGTAGTATCAAGTCTATCTCTATTGAATATTCGTTATGAATGACTCTTTAGATTTAAAAATACGAAAGCAAAAATAATCAGTTTCTATCTCCTCTGTTTGAAACAGTATGTAGCACACTATTAAAAAGTTGAATTTAATGAAGACACAGTTCATCATTACAAATGGGTAGAGATTTTTGAATATGATGATAAGTACAATATATGATAAATAATCTTTTATAGGTATAATATTATTGTTTACAATATTTGAATACTAAAGTTATCTATTTACACAAAAAAAATATTTTATGGTTATGAAAATGTACAGACTAATGAGAAAAATATTCATATGAATTATACTGGATAAAAAGTATACAATATAACGAGGTTAAGTAACCACAAAGAGTTAAAATGACATTTAAATCTATTGTTTGAATTTGCTCTCTTCCCTTGAATGATCGCACGACAATAAAATTTATGTGATAGAATTGACGAATTTGTGGACATGAGTTCAACATCTATTCAAGGTGTGGTTATTAATCTTTGGAATTTCTTGTCTTTTTAGTGCATTCAAATAGAAATAGACTAACGATATTATTTGCACGCACAGCATTTGTGGATAAATAGAACGGAGTACTTAATTCGCCCTTGACTTCGTCTTCCAACAGAATAGAATAAGAAAAACGATGTACTTCGTTCTTTATCTCTCTACTCTCATTCCTAATATCATGGCATTATATAACAAATGGGAAGAAAAGAATATACCAATAGAACATATGAACAAAATTAAACAACGGAGTTTACTATGTAAGCCATGATATCACAGACTGGTTCCTCTCGTGCCTCTTTTCTGTTATCGATATCGGTATATAAATACCGTTGATCTGCACAGTTTGGCTCAGAAAAAAAAAATTGTCTATTATAAAGCTATTTCTTCGAAAAAAACTAGCGAGTGCTTATTGATACTAATAATCTCTATCATGGAAGCAGTAAGATAAATATTTGAATTTATTTATTTATTTTTATTAATACATATTTCTTTTAATAGTCAAATTTTGCCTGTTTCTTTGACATTGATGGTGTTATTACAAAAGGTCCAAATTTCATAACAGCTGCTAAACCAGCAATTCAAACATTGATTCAGCTCAATGTACCTGTTGTATTTGTTTCAAATACATGTATGCTCGAATCGGATAAAGCTAAACAATTATCAGCTGTACTTGGAGTAACTGTAAGTTTATCTTTTTTCATGATCTTTCTTCGATTTTTTAAAAGTATATTATATTTAAATACAGATTCATCCTGAACAAGTTGTTCTTGCTCAAACACCAATGCGTACATTAACTGATTTTCATAATAAACATGTACTTGTTTCTGGACAAGGTCAAGCTGAAGACATTGCTCGAATGTATAGATTTTTATTTGTTATTTTTAATACTTATTTATTCATTATTTTGAAATAGGATCGGTTTTAAAAGTATAACAACAATTGAAAAAGTTTGTGAAGCATTTCCAGAATTAGATATGGTTAATCATATGAATCGGGTTAGATTAGTAAGTAACAAAAAAAAACAACAAATTTCTATTTATTTATATTTCATGGGTATTTTAGAGTGAAATGATTAGTACTCAAGGTCTTGTTCATGATGAGAATTTTCGTCCTATTGAAGGTAGATACTTGTTTGGTGTCTCTTATTAATGCTTTAATTATTTTTTGTCGTTTTTTTAAGCTATTGTTTTACTTGGTGAACCCATTCAATGGGAAAGATCATTACAAGTTATTATTGATCTTCTTTTAACTGATGGTAATCCTGCTATTATACCAGATGATTCAAATACTAAACACGATCATATACCTATTATTGCTTGTAACAGAGATCTTGTATTTAAAGCTGCTGCAGATTTACCACGTTTTGGTCATGGTGCTTTTCTTACATGTTTAGAAACATTATATAAAGTAAGTCGTCTTTTTTTCATCTATAGAAAGTATTCTATGAACTTTTGTTTTTCATTTCTATATATGGTATAANGTGAATCAGTAGGAATCATCGAAAATACTTATAAATGAAAGAAAATCACGAGAAATCGTTAGAGATCACCAAGAATATTGGCAATTACTTAAAATCAATAAAAATCAATAAATGTTATTAGAAATCAATAAAGTCACGGATTTACTATTAATCTTATTAGTGGAGATTTTCTAAGATTTAGTGATTTCCATTGAGTTCTAATGATTTCTGATCGTTTCCGACCATTTTTAATCACTACCAGCCATTATTTGTATGCTCAAGGCTTTTAATGGATTTCTGGTGATTTCTAGTGATTTTCAGTGATTTCTAGCATAGAAAGCAGTTTGTGCCCCCTCGCCTTGAATAATAAAAAATAAAATTGAAACTCCGAGGCTATTAGAAATCAGTAGAAATCACTGGAAATCATTAGAAATCATTAGAAATCACTAGAAATCATGGAAATCCCTAGAAATCAGGAAATCAAGAAATCAGTATGTTCCCCCTTGATTTGAATTCTAACGATCTTTTGTGAATAAAAAGTGTACATTAATATGGCGAGCTTTCACTTCGCAAAAAGTATACAGAGGGCTTCATGTAATCAACTAACAAAAACCTTTCGAATTTTTTTCTATCGATTGTTGGTGGTAGCGTAGCCAGAAAAATGTCTAAACGTAATGGACTAAACTGCTATATTCTCTTTCATTACGCATTTAGACGAGACTTACACTTTCCTAAAAGTTGCTCAGACGCTTCAGGCAGAAAATGAGTCTCCTGATCTTATTTGTTAACATCTCTCATTTTTTGTTTCCTTTTAAACAGCTACTTAACAAATGAAGCTTAAATAGTAATAAAACTGAGTCAAAATGGTCAAAAAGTTAAGCCTAACATAACTAAAAATTAGGTCAAAAATATTCACTTTCATGAAAACGACTTTTTCAATAATTATCGGCGCTAACCCGTATGAAATGAAGCGTCGAGCTCTACTCACGGCGCGTGTAATTTTTTTGAAAATCCGCTTCGGTGTTTACCGTTTGTAGACTGCGCATCGAAGCGTTATGTCGATAGTATTGTTCGAATTTCGTTATTCATTCTGACTCACAACTAAAAGTCAACGATAGATTTGTGAGCACTGTTGAGAACTAAGCTTGATAGACTATATTTGAGATTTTCAAAGGAGTTTCTAGACAAGGTGCGGACAATTCAGTGACCACTGCAATATCGGATGATAGAGGGATCGTTTCATATCTGGAATACATAAGTATCAAGTTCAAATCATATGAAAAAAAAATCAATTCGTTTAGAAAGAGATTGGTGTACCAGTTGAAATCTTAAGTAAATAATATTTTGTCAACAAATGAAATTATGAACACAGTCTAGAAAAGACTTCCCAAGAGAAAATTATTGCTGAACGAGATCGAAAGTCTCCCAGCTTTCCACACTTGTTCGATTAGCAATTAATTCACTATTGCCATAATTATCAGCACAGACATATTTTCCATTGACTGCAACTAAAGCTACTTTTCCATTACCACGATCAATCAGTCGAAAAGTTTCCCATAAACTGATTTGAGAACGATTGGCGATCAAAGGACCATCACCTGCATTTTCGGCACAAACATACTTTCCATTGGCACATGATTTTAGAGCAACATTTTTTCCATTGAGGAATATGAGATTAAATGTTTCCCAACTAGAAACAGCAACACGATTGGCAATTAAAGAATTCTTTCCAGCATTCTCAGCACACACAAATTTGCCGTTGGCATTAGAGCGAAGGGCAATAACTCTGGTCGAGATGTTTCGGTTGCCGATGCCAGTGCTTTCATTGGGAATATCGTACAGTTCAAGATTAATATGGATATCTTGCGTTCCATGTGAGCTAGCATGATCATCCGGAATAAGATATGCGTTTCCATTAGTTACTCTTCGTCGATAGTAAGCAACCAATTCCTCGTTCCGTCCACCCGTGTATGGTTCAGTTGGAGCTAGTACGTTGTTGCCTTTAGAATCTTTTGCCTTGAATTTTTCCGGTGCCTCTGCCCACAGATCGTCCGTCATACCAGTGCGCAGTGTGTCATCGTTACTTGTAAAGAGCATTGAACCATTGTATCCTCGAATTAGACTGATATCGGCAAATGTCATATTTTTCCAGGCGTTAAAATGGATTTCAGCCCATGTTGCAGGATCCTTAGCGGCACCGGAGAGTTTTTGAATGCGACCTTCCCAACCTTGTTCTAGTTTTACTAATTGGCTGGTATGTGGTTTGAGCTCAATGACCTTTTCAGCATCGAATGATGGTTGATAAGGACCACGATTTTTAAAAAAGCCTATTCTTGTGGGCTTGCTACTACGATTGATCACGTTGACTGAATTCGACATTATGGTATTAATCGATAAGAATACGACGATGATAGTGAGTTAGAAAGGGAATAATCACAGTAAAGAAGCCTATCGTCACGCCTTTAAGATACGAGAAGAAAAAACCATAAGAAAGTGAGTCAAGCGATGGGGTTTTTATGTACTTCGACGTTCGAATTACTCATTACCTGTTCTTCTCGACAAACAAGACATACAAGAAAAGACAAATAGTAAGCCTTCGATAGACGCGCATGTCGTGTCCTGTCTTCGACAGCAAACAAATGCGTAGCATTTATTTTTCTTTCTTTCAGATTTTACTTGACGACGAAAAAGCACATACTGATTGTAAAAAATGTCTAATAACGGATATCATCTCGTGTGGGAAGATACATTCTCTCACGATGGTCCAGTTGATCGAAGCCAGTGGGACTTCGACGTCGATACTGAAAACAATGGTTGGGGTAGTGTATTCTCTGCACAATTATTTGTTATTCAAATATCCTAAAATTCTAGGCAATCAAGAAGCGCAATATTACACAGATCGAGTTGAAAATGTTGGATGTCAAGGTCGACGATTGATTATCGAAGCACGTCGCGAAGATTATGGTGGCTGCCACTTCGCATCAGCTCGACTGAAATCGAAGAATGCATGGACCTATGGATGTCCTCAGGCATGTTTCGAAAAATTTCCCGTCTATTTCAATCATATATTTTAGACAAAAGCTAAATTACCAAATGGTAGAGGTCTATGGCCGGCCATTTGGATGGTGAGTATGATTTCATCTGAAAATTTGTATTTATTATGTCTGTTCAGCTTCCTGGGACACGATCCTATAGAAATGCCCTTTGATCAGATAATGGAGATATCGATGTTATGGAACAAGTTGGTTTTGAACCGAATAAAATTGTATCGAGTGTGCTTACGGCATCATTCAATCATATGAAAGGTTCCCAACCAACAAATAGTGTTCATGTTCATGATGTTTGCGATAATTTCAAAATCTACACTCTCGATTGGACTTCTGATAAACTAGAAATGTTTGTTGGTGATGACAATAATCCGTTTGAAAAACGAGTTCTCATTTGGCAAAAGAATGGACATGATTGGAAAGGATGATAAGAATTATTTCGAACATTTACAGGCCTTTTGATAAGAATCTTTACATTCTTCTCAATGTTGCTGTTGAAGGATCGTGGTATGTATTATTACTAGTTTTGTATGAAATGAGAATATTGACTTAATTGTACCAATAGAGGAGGACAAAAAGGTATCGACGAAGGTATTTTTCCGGAAAAAAATGGAAATTGAAAGGATCCGATTCTATAAAACTACTAGTGGTGGCAATGGAATCGGTGATACAAACATCGCCACCAGAATGATTGCCCTTCGGTCAAATGCCAACGGCAAATTTGCCTGTGCTGAGAATGCTGGAAAGAATCCTTTAATTGCCAATCGTGATGCTGTTTCTAGTTGGGAAACATTTGAACTTATCTCTCTCGATGGCAACAATGTTGCTCTAAAATCATGTGCCAATGAAAAATATGTCTGTGCTGATAATTATGGCAATAGTGAATTAGTTGCTAATCGAACCAGTGTGGATAGCTGGGAGACTTTCGATCTCGTTCAGCATTAATTTTCTCTCAGAAAATCATTTCTATGATGCATTCGTGATTTAATCTCTTGACAAAACAATATCGCTTTGAAATTACACTGTTCTACTAACCTCTGCCCAAAGAAACATTGTTGGTGAATTTTTTTATTTCAAAAAATAATATTTCGGTTTTAAATAGGGTATCATTCAAGTCATTAGAAGTGGCCAACAACAAGTAAATAGACAAAAAAGATTTTAAGCGTCTATGTTGAAACACTACGGTATCTGAAAATGACCGATTGATAACAGCTGTCGGATACAATATTTGTGATGAACATCTATCCAAAAATGATGGTGAAATTGCCTTCAGGTCCACCATGTGTCTTGGTATTATCGCTGGGAAATAGATAGGCATCCCGTGCCCGTTTATGTGATGCTTTGAGTCTCGTTCTAACAAAAAAAGATAAAAATATGATGGCCAAAGTCCATTTGCTAAAAAGAATATTGACCCATCAGGTGCTACAAGTTTCATCGGTACGTTGAAACCATCAATTACACTCAAATCGTAATAAACATTGTTATCATTGGCCTTCACTGATATCTCAAATAAGGTGATCCCTCCACTTCCACCTTGGTGACGGAAATTGCCCGACCATTTGTCCGGACAATGGTATCGGTGAGAGTGGCTACAGATACAATTGAATTATAGGTTATTTGTTCATTTACTTACCCGGGTGCAATAGTAGCGACTCGTTTAGATGGCTTATTGTTTTGTGTAGCGACAAGATGAATGGATATGCCAAGCTTATTGATAAAGTTGATGTTGACCGGCATGGCAAAATTTCAGGTTTTGAACTGTTAGAAACTGAAAACGACAGTGACTGTTTAAAGTGCTTGTATTTTATTTCTGTATATCCCCAAGATCCACCGTTAAAAAAGGGAGACATATAGTTATATACCATTGTATGTCTGCTGAAAGCTTTTTTCAGTCTGGGATATTTTTGTCGTAAGATCAAAACGTAATGATGATACTAGTCTACTTACAATCAAAGTTACAGATGAAAATGAGATTGTTTAGTCGTCTATCTCGCGCTTATATCTATATTGTTAAAATCAAGTGAGTTGAGTTTTTCCAAGTGACGCATGTTTACGTGTTGACAGGGATCATTACCATCGCCATCCTTTCTGTTCTATTCTGTCACAATATTATTCATCTTTTTATTGCTTGTTGTCAAACTACCTTTGCATTCTGGTGTCCTTATAATGAGCAAGCGAATGTTGATACTATAAAATACGAAGAAAAAAAACCATAAATACGTTAATCAAGCGATGGGTTTTTTTTTGGTTACCCATGCACTCCACCCGGTTACTTTTCGTCCTATACAATTCTTTCCAATTAACGTTCCATTCCTTTTTCTCCCCTTACAATTCGTCCTAAATTGTGATTATTTATTTTCATTATCGCGATATCAAGTTGCATTGCTGCTCGTTTACGACGAATCGTTTGCAATAATGTGTCATTTTTAGGTAAACGAAGAGTTATAGTCAATGGAATTGTACGTAATACGGCAGATAATATGGTTTCATGACGTATCACGAGTTTTAATTTCATTTTTAATTCAAATGTATGAACTCGATCTGGATCACTTGCCAATGATCAAATGGAAAACCGGAAACTCGGTAAATATGTAGAATGGAGAAGAAAGATATATTTATTCTTCATTGGTCTTTTTTTAATCACGATGATTCACTAGATGCAATGATAACTATTTACATAATGCCTATTTTCAGCAACTACAAAGATTGATCTTAGCAAAGTTATGAGATGAAATCCAGATGGGACGAAATATCATGTGCCATAATGGGTGGTCACCTTTTTTTGCTTTTTGATGTTCGAATCATTCATTATCTGTTCTCTTCTAGATATACTACATATAAGATATTACAAAGAGGAAGCCTCAGATAGACACTGTTTTCGATGACAACCAAACGTGGTCTGGCTTGGCCGTTAGAAAATACTCAAGACTCACCAAGACTGTTTACCAATGGCAGAGTCCAATGGTTCTACAACTGGTCGTTCGACAAAAGATCAGACGTTAATCTCGAATTCATTCCTATGTATTGGAGTGCCAACAACGAAAATCCAGCACAGTTTGTTAACAAAGTTCGGGCTCAACATGCTAAGGCCATATTAGGTTTTAATGAACCTGAAAGAAGTGAACAGGCCAATATGAATCCAAATGAAGCTGCTCGTGTGTGGAAACAATATATTGAACCGCTGGCTAATGAAGGCATTCGATTGGGATCACCTAGTGTTGCCAGTACTGAAGAAGGGCTCAACTGGCTGCAAGCCTTTCTCAGTCAAGGTTGTCGCGTTGATTTTCTTGCTCTTCATTGGTACGGTCGTGGAGCCGACAATTTTATTCGCTTCATTACTAATGCTCATGAACGATTTGGCCGTAAACCGGTATGGGTAACTGAGTTCGCATGTACCTCTTGGAATGCTCATCAACCAGTCTCACAAGAAGAAATTAATGATTTTTTCACCCAAACTATAGCACAGCTTGATCAAATCGACTGGATCGAACGGTATGCATGGTTCGGTGCTTCACGTCGACTGGATCCAGCACTGGGTACAGGAAACTGTTTGATCAACAGCAGCGGTGGTTTGTCTCCACTTGGCAACAGATATGTGAATGGGTAAGATCGCAAAACTTTGAATCACAGTCATATAGATTTGTTTTGTACAACACTTTTAGTGAAACCAACGAAAGTAGCAATTCAAACGCCATCACCAAAGTTATCGCCCTTCGCTCGAATGCCAACGGCAAATTTGTCTGTGCCGAAAACGCTGGAAAGAGTTCTTTAATTGCTAATCGCGATGCTGCCTCTAGTTGGGAAACATTTGAACTTATCTCTCTCGATGGAAACAATGTTGCTCTAAAATCACATGCCAACGGAAAGTATATTTGTGCCGAAAATGCAGGCAATGGTCCTTTGATCGCCAATCGTTCTCAAATCAGTTCATGGGAAACGTTTCGATTCATTGATCGTGGAAATGGAAAAGTAGCTTTAGTTGCAGTCAATGGAAAATATGTCTGTGCTGATAATTTCGGTAACAGTGCATTAGTTGCTAATCGAACCAATGTGGATAGTTGGGAGACCTTCGATCTCGTTCAGCAATAATTTTCTTTCAGAAAGTTTTTTCTAGAATGTGTTTTTAATTTAATCTGTTAACAAAATATTATCTACGTAAGATTGAAACTGTTCTAGTAATCTCTTTCCAAAGAAAATTGTCGTTGATTTTTTTTATCTCGAAAATAATATTTCGGTTTTAAATACAGTATAATTCAATTCATTACAGATGGCCAACAACACGTGTTCTTCAAATAGAATTTTTTAAATTATCTATTTTGAAACACTACGGTATCTGGTAATAGCCGACTGATAATAGGTCTTTTTCTGTCTAAAACTGGTGTAGAAATGCAGTACAATGTATACACTTTATGTAATGTCATGATAAATTATTGAAAGTCGAACACAGGATTTGTGATGAATAACTACAGCTAATCGTTTTATAATGCTCTAAACAGCTAATCAGAATTAAACTATCGAATTCTTATTTCGCTGATCTTATGGTTTGGATTCAGATAAATTGGTAACATTGACTTTGTCTTCAAACTAGAATCAAATTGAGTATAGATCATTAACCCCGATCAATTGAAAATCTTTCAATTTTAGTATGGTATATGTATTTTAAAAATTGCAGACTTTTCACTCTAACAATGACAGAGATTGCAGGAGGATAATTTGAGCGCCTATGTAGTTTGAGATATTGAAGAAAGATATGCAGCCGTGAAATTAATGAAGCTTACCTAGGTTGTTGTTTTTTGTCATTATTCACTTTCCTTCAAGATTGACTAAGCGATCATACTATTTGTTTCTAAACTTGTTTGTGATTGTACTACATAATTTGCTGCTTTCATGGCTTCTGCACCTTCCCTCTCTCTCTCTTGTCTAATCACACACTCCTTTGAAGATTTTGATAGATCCGGCCGTTGATCACATGTAATCACTTCAATTATACTGTGTTTAAAAGCGAATTCTTATTTTCTGAAATAGTTACATATGTTCCAAGTTAAAATGATATGAGAAAAAATCAACGACAAAGCAAGCAGTCTAGAAAAGAATTCATAAGAGAAAATTATTGCTGAGTTAGATCGAAAGTCTCCCAGCTATCCACACTGGTTCGATTAGCAATTAGTTCACTATTGCCGAAATCATCAGCACAGACATATTTCCCATTGACTGCAATTAAAGCTACTTTTCCATTTCCACGATCTATGAGTCGAAAAGTTTCCCATGAACTGACTTGAGAACGATTGGCGATCAAAGGACCATCACCTGCATTCTCGGCACAAACATACTTTCCATTGGCACGTGATTTTAGAGCAACATTGTTTCCATCGAGAGAGATAAGTTCAAATGTTTCCCAACTAGAGGCAGCATCACGATTCGCAATTAAAGAACTATTTCCTGCATTCTCAGCACAAACAAATTTGCCATTTGCATTCGAGCGAAGGGCGATAACTCCGGTGGGGATCCTTGAACCACTGGCACCGACACTTTCGTTCCATCCTATGCGAATTATGAGTGCTTTCGGATCGCCTATCTCTAAGTACGATGCTTGCCCGTTATAATCATCGTAAGCGAAACCATAAGCAAGCTGGCCAATACTATGATCGTGCCAAAATTTTGCGTAATAGTTTGCAGGTGATGATTTGTAGTATTGGGTGACGTCCTTCGTGTTTCCTCGAAATACATGACGGTTGAGTGCGGATCCAATTTCCGGTTCTTGAGCAAGTGGACCATTGCAAAGTAAAATTTGCTGTGTGGTATACTTGTTGTTAGAATAGGCGTCAAAATACTTATCATTCTTTTTGCCAGGAGCAAAGGAGCCATGGATCGGGGCGACAATGCGGTATGGTGCTTGAATTTCAGCTAGTGTCTTGAATTCCTCGGGCACTTCGTGTCTAAATTTCGCAAAAAGGCCATCTCTTGTTTCATTCTCCAGTTCACCGAAAGTCAGATCAAAATTTCCTGATCGGTTCACTAGACGATGCTGAATGGGAAACCCGAAGGCATCTACGCGTGTCGTATTTCCATGGTAGCCAGAATTGTCGATTGTAAATTCAATAAAATCATGGTAAACGTCACGATTTGGGTCGGATGGATTGTTTAGATCTGGACCGGCAAATCCATTATCATGTGTTTTAATAAAACAGGGAGAGCCAACACTAAGAAACATTCGTCCCGATACAATTTTCGGTAAATTCACCCAATCCACTTCACTCACTCGTGTGTAAATATTCGCATAATTAGCTCCATTTTTAGACAAATGTCCTGGAGCATCGTTTAGTGCCATTGAGATCGGATGAAGCTGTCCAGATCGATCAAGATAGTTCCATCGGTTGTTTGACATACCCAGAACAGCCCAATAAATTTGAGTATCATCATACGCTCGATTCGTGCCGTTAAGAATTTTGAAAACCAGTGCACCATTACCTGAAGCATTGGGAATTGTATTGCGAGCTACCGACATGATATCCGTTGCCATGTTTGTATGTTTTCAAATGATTTATGCAGGTATTCTCTGCTTAATAAAGTGAATAAAAATCGAAACCCAATATGCTGCGATGACACGATGTGCTTGTCTGCTACTTTCGGCTGAATATATTCGAACCTAACCAACCACCTGAGAGAAGAGGAAGGGAAACAATAGTGAGAAGAAAACACGAGCAGATATTGTAACTGAGCCTCTAGCCAGCGGAGTGCATTGCTATATAGTACACAAACAGTGGGAACGATTGAGAAAAGCCCACTGGGAAAGAACAGAGTGAGCTGGGATAAACCACACAATAGTGGGGAACTTCCAACAAGAGAACAAAATGAGCTATGACGGCAAGGAAGGAACGAGAAGAAAGGAGAATACGTTGAAGAGACTATGAACTTTATGTATGGTTCCCGATTGTTTTGAGACATGGGAGGGACTGAAACTTCGGCAGAAATTGAACAAAGAATGCTAAATTCATCGAATCTCTGGGAGATTTTGTTGACAGAAAGTGTTTTTCTTCCACTTTCTGCCAGAAAAATGTCCAAAAGCACCTTATTTTGATCGGACTGAAGTGTGTGAGTAAACATCCTGTATATTGTGGAATTTGTTCGTACATAGACGAACGAGAAGACTGGTCCTGGAAATGGATTTCTTTGGTTTATCTGGATTTTCCTCATGATCAAAAGATTGCAAGGAATGAAGATCGTTTTTTTCCAAATTATCTATTTATTATTTGATAGGTTAGTTCCGCATTAGGAAAAATATTAAGCATATTCTTTTCATTATTGTTCGAACAGAAGTCGTAGTCGATTGGAGTTTGTTGACGAGAATACTTGACAATGGTCAGTCGACGAATGTGTGAGAATTGTCCGAGGTCGGCGCCTATCGTACTGATATGACGAATCAATGCTGTATGAATGATCAAATGCTCGAGATTGGGTGTGAGATGACGAAGACGTCGCAGATCAACGTCACGAACACACGACAATATATCGTCGAGACATAGCTCAATAACAGTTGGCAAAGTCAACCGAGTGTCTTCAATAAGATCATCACTCAAAGCACAAAACTGTTTGAAACTTATATAGCGTAGATTGTGACACACATGGCGAATGAATTCAAATAGAGTCAAACTCAACTTCTCTCGAGATCGGAATGAAATGTTGACAACAGTCGGAAGTGAGAAGACGAAGTCAGAACGATTAATGTTCGAGTGAAAATCGACAAAATCATTGCATACACGTTCCAAAGAATCGAATACAAATGGAAATGTGAATCGTGTGTGCATTCCATGTTTGGTGTGAAATATCGAAATGACATGTCGTTTATCTGCCCTTTTGTCAAATTTTTGTCGAGCGACCGTTTCCTGCGAGGACATACCACCATAAACACAGAAATCAAACCGTTTGACGTGAGGTAAATCATTCAGTACTAATCGTTCGAAATTTCGACAACTTGATGTCAGATAAGATGCAGTTGTTGTGAAATACAGTGAGAAATGTTCGAGTGATGACGAAAAGCCCCGAATAAATGAGCAAAGATTTGTAATATTTGTTATTTGATTGTAAGCAAGTAGACGAACGAATTTCACTCGAGTAGGACATGTTCGACCTTGAAGAAAGTATTTTGTCAACGGATAATATATACCTGAATGGCCATGGATATCACAAAGGCGAATCGCAAAATGTTCAACAAGAGGTATCATTGGCATCAAATCAAAAGCCAAACCGATATGATTAATCACGACTGAGAGATGAGTCAGATTAGAATTCGACAGAGATAAATTACGCTTTTGCAATACGAAACAATTTGAAATTGATAAATGTTTTATGAGACTATCACGATACCATAAATATGAAACCAATTGGTCGTGCACTTCAGAATGTTCGAATTCAGGAAATGAGAAACAATTCGATTGAGCGAATGCGAGAACTTAATGCAGGGAGAACGAATGCGATGTCATTATAAGCTCAAGACGATTGGCCATAGGAAACATTGACAAAAGACGTTCTTTCAGTTGACTGTCGTTTATTCGAAGCGATACTATTCGATCACCATGAGAAGACAACCATTCATCTATTGACGACAATTCTGACATTGTGGACAAGTCGATATGACGAATGTGATTGGAAACAAGAGCAATCACACGACGATTCTCTATTTTACCAAATGTATATAGAATATCACTTGATCGAAGATAGATGAATATCGAATAGTAAAACAGCTCGTTTGCCAAAGAGAGTAGATCGCTCGCTCCTAATTCAATAAAGAATCATCAAACAAGAACGAATTTAACTACTCAAACGAACCTTTTCTTGCAAACTCGAACATCTTCTTCATATCCATCAGTCATATCGTATCGCATCAATATAGTTCCATCAGCCATTGTCTCCGATTGGCCATCACGCCACCTACTGAAGACAATGGAACATCTTCAGTGAAAAAGACAACTCAATTCAAAGAACGGGAAATTAGCGAAAATTATTTGAATAGATAAAACATGTAGAATTCGAAAATGATATCGTCATTCATCATTGAATTTTGAGAATGAACTTGTGGAAAATAGGAAAGTCGTTTTTTTAAATTCTAAATTCAATCGAGTGAAATTGTGATTGAGACTGGTTTTGAAACTAAAATTGGCTCAGCGTTGTGTCCAGAGAGATAACTTCGATTTGCATGGTGTCCCAGAAATGACCTGCCAAAAAAAAATTTGAATATCTCCACCGTGCTTTCATCAAATGAGCTCATTTTTTCTGATGGTCGAGGTTAATTCTCTTTGATTGATAGTGTAGGCATAAAGTCCACCGGATTGTCTGCTACCAATTTAACTCATTTCTCCAACACTGCTCTGTTACATATCCAAAAATGCTTCTCTTCAGAATGATGTTACAAGCCTGTCGTGAGCGTGACAGCCGAATATCGATCGATTGCGCTCCTGTTTTGTTCGATACATATTCATTTTTTTCGATAGAATAGGATTAAGTATATCAGAAAGTGAGTATGTGCAGTATCGAGTTTCTATTTATCAAAATACTATGTGATGCGTTCTCTGATACTTGAAAAATACAGCTTAAAACATCATCACTTGCATACGAGGTACCATTACGATTCTTTGTTATATCAACGCAAACTATGATCACAGAAATAGTCTGTTGTGCCGTATTCATTCTTTTCAGGTAATTGAAATTTCAATTGTTTTCATTTCTTATGTAACTTTGAACGATCTTGAATTGTAGCATCACAGGTTTGATTCTTATTACATTTTATATGTTCAGTTGTTAATTAAATTGTTCGATAGTTCGAGTGAATGGTGAAATGTGTCATGGGATGGCTCAATATGGGCAATGTTCAACGAATAGTGTCTGTGGATGTTTTAAAATGGCATCTACAAATCACAGTGGTATTTGTGGTTCTCTCTGGTTAACTTGTTCTCAACTAGTTTCGTGTGGGTCTTCCAATAATGTTTGTTATCAACCTGATCACTCATGTGTTCGTCATCCTCGATGTTATGCTCATCCAGTCTGTTATCCGTTATCTATGACGAACGAACGACTTTGTCCTAGTAAGAAAAAAAAACTGTGTATCTGAAGACGAAGAAAACACACAGCGTTATTCCAATGAAATAATCGGGAGAAAAATTTGATCGCGGCACATAATAAAAGAGAAATGGTTTGGCCAAACGGCAGAGTTGACTATCCGTTCTTTTCTTTGCCAATAGGACAGCTTTGTTTGTAAACAAATTTCGATTTCAGAAAAGATGTGTGTCTCGCTCTCCTCTCAAAAGGATATCTTTGATAAATGCTAAGCTGACTTCATAGGCCAACGAAACGATTCTCTATTCTTAATAAAACGTGACGATTTTTGCCGAATATAAGAGCATATATTCGACTTCTTTACTGTTCTCATTTTAAAATCTATTCGAGATCCTCAACTTGTTTTAGGAGAATCATACAACAACGTTTATCTTTTTTCATATGATATTAACTATCGATATTTGTAATAAATAGATTTGCGTTAACTAGAAAAATTGATATCTTTTATTCTTTTCGCTCATTTAGGTTTACCAAAACCTGGTGATGGTATTTGTACAAATGCGAGATGGGCTCAAAATGGTACCACAGTCGCTGGTGGCAATGATCAAGGATCTGAACTCAATCAATTGGCTGACCCATTCGGAATCTTTGTTGATGATAATCAATCTGTTTATGTGGCCGATTTTGGAAATCATCGTGTTGTGAAATGGGATCGTGGAGCATCAACTGGTCAGCTAGTCGCAGGTGGACATGGATCAGGAAACCATGATAATCAATTGAATTATCCGAGCGATGTTCTCGTCGAGAAGGATGGAACAATATACATTAGTGACAGTTATAATCGACGAGTTCAGCGATGGCTTCAAAGTGCTCAAAGTGGAGAAACAGTTATTGGAAATATCGCTGTCCATGGCATAGCACAAGACGATGAAGGAGCACTTTATGTGTCTGAACCGGAAAGGAATAGAGTGAGCAAATGGCGTCTTGGTGAGACGGCTGAACAAGTGATCATTGCAAATTTCAGTAATCCACTAAACCTGTTTGTGGATCGAAACCGATCTGTCTACGTGACCGAAAATTCCAATCATCGAGTGGTAAAAATGCATTTCGGGACAATGTTAAACATGATTGTTGCTGGTGGATCCCATGGGAATGGTACAGATCAATTATCATCTCCAAACAGTGTCATTGTCGATCAGTTGGGCACTGTCTATGTGGCTGATACTGACAATGAGCGAATCATGCGATGGCCTCTTGGAGCTACATCCAGCAGTGTCATTGCTGGCGGTCATGGCCATGGTTCTCAAGCTGATCACTTTTGGGATCCTACTGATTTATCATTCGACCTTGAAGGAAATCTCTATGTAGTCGATCCAATGAACCATCGTGTAGAAAAATTTGCCATTGATAAGAGTTTATGTTAATACATGTGAATGTATGCTCACTGTTTATTTGTACTCTACAGAGTTTCGAAGATCTTGATAGATTAGAAGAATGCAATTTTTCTAATCGGTATAGGTTTCACGCTAATCTCTTTGAATCAACATATGCAATGAAATTCTTCACTGACTATTGAACGCATTCATCATTTCTTCGTTATCTTCTTCAAGCAACTGTAAATCGCTGCCAATCACAAGATTCAATAATTACAAATTGACGATCACCTATTGAGCATTAGGTCCGTTATCCATCGTCTGAAGAGAGAACAGTCTGATTTAATGTGAATAGAGATGAAAAATAAATGGGAACGGGTCATGATATCGCTATATTGCGAAGGCGATACTCGTTTCCAAACGTGTGGATGCATGGAGAACACTTTTGCTTGAACATGGTGTAGTACCTATCATTATTAGGTGACGCCTGACTCGGATACTCCTACACAAAGTAATCGCTAGGTAGATGTTTTACTGTCTTTGAAAACCAATTTTTTTATGAGTACGCTCTGTTTCTGACTACTACACGTAGTGGTATACGAGAAAATATAATTTATTGAAGGGATCAAAACTTAGTACACACTCTTTATTACGAGCGCTTAATCACTTTGGCTCGGAGTCCATCCTTAGGACGCAGAGTGATGCGTACGTCGGGCACTATTTTCTGGTCGGGCTCGAGAGAAAAGTCACATCGTTGAACGAGCATAGCCAACATCACTTTCGTTTCAAGTAAAGCGAAATTCTGACCGATGCAGTTGCGTGGTCCAGCCGCAAATGGTAAATAACAGAAAGGATGAGCTAGTTTCGGTTTATGACCAGTGACGGGATCACGCATCCATCGAGTATAGTCAAATTCGAGTGATCGAGACCAAAAGTCAGCACGTCGATGGAGCACATAGGTGTTGACTAAAATGGTTGTGCCGACAGGAATACGCAATTGACGATCACATCCACTACCGATAATGTGTTCACGAATACACTGACGTCCGAATAACGGTGCAGGTGGGTAGAGACGAAGTGTCTCTTGCAAAACGGCCTCACAGACAACAAGCTCATTCACGTGTTCATAGGTGGGCTCAATACCGTTCGGAAGTACCCTGTTGACTTCGTCTCGGCAAGCACGCCAAACTTCTTCATTTGTCATTAACACATATATGACCCATGTCATCAAAGTGCCTGTTGTCTCGTGTCCAGCAAATACAAAAGTCGAAGCTTGGTCTTTGATCTCTTGGTCGCTGAACGGTTTTCCTTCAGCATCGACAGCAGAAAGAAGAAGATCAAGAATATCAGAACCCGAACATTGACTAGTCGATCGACCATGTCGACGGTCAGCAATGATCTGATCGACAAATTCAGCAATTTCACGGCAGCCTTTGTCTAGAATAGGCTTCTGCCAGAAAGGTAATTGTGCCATGATGGGAATGCGATCGATCATATGCAACATCCGATATTCCATGGCTTTGGTTACTTCAGTAAATGCTCGGCACACGATTTCTTTTGCGTTAGATATGGTTTCAAAACCTTTACCAAACGCACTCGAGGCCATAATTGTCAATGCAATAGTATTAAACTCCGTCTGTAAATCAACAAACTCCTTTTGAGTAGACAATAGAAGAAGTTCATCAATGGCTTTGGCGGTCTCATGGGCCATAATCGATACCATTGATTGCAGATTAACAAAATGAAAGGCTGGATTGAGCATTTTTCGAGCGCGTTTGTGCTCGAGTCCTTCGCTCACTAATAAATTGTGTGTGCCAATCAATAGTTCAGAACTAGGACTGAAATTCGAAGGCTTTCTGTAGTTTTCAGCATGTGATCGACCAAGGATATCAGCAATCAGATCCGGTTCAGTCATGGAAAGGTATATCGAAGGACCAATGCCTATAAGATAGATATGACCATGTTTCTGAACGAGTCCCATCCGATAGGCCATGAAAGAATTGTTTTTAATAGCGCGATTTATGTCAGGTAATTGACCAATGAGAGGCACAAACGGCTCACCCGGTACACCTTGACTTCGAAACACATCGTACAAGCGCTTTGGTGAACGGATCAATCTCCAGTAGACGAGGAATAGAGTAGAGCAGATGAGCACTACACATGTGTAGAGAAATATAATCATCTTGTTATGTCTAGAATAGAAAAAGAAATATGATGAAATACAGCTGTTTACTGCTGATGAAACCTGATTCGTTTTTTTCTTTTTCGTGTTCTCTCGTGACTCACGATGCATTGTCACTTCTAGGCATTGTAATCTTTTCTTTTTGAGTACGCTGTAAACGCTTATAAGGCTGAAATTAAAGGAAAGAGAAGGAGGACAAGAATAAAAAAGAATGAGAACAATGAATGGAGTAAGAACAAAGGTAGATGTAAAGGGTGTCTGATAAGTTCTGATCTCTTTCGAGTATATATGCTTTTCTTACATGCTTTTCGGTAGAATGGGCTATAGCCACAGATATGCAAGTGATGAAGTATTCGTAGGAATTTTGTGAAGCAAAATGCTTCCAAATGGTTATTGCCCAGAATACATATCACTACAGCGTATGATTGATCTGGCTCTTTGAGAATGAGTTCTCGTTTGATATCATTGTTGTCATTCGTGCCACAACGACGATTTTTACCGCCTTTGCTCTTGTTTTTTTTTGGCATTTTCTAAATAGACGATAGAAAATGTTTGACTTAGACTAGATTCCGAAATATGACAATCGATTATTTTAGGGTGGGCAGATGAGTGCGGCTGTATCGGTTAAGAGAAGACACTCACCCCTTGCACACATCTAGGAATTGAGTTTGTTTAAGTGTTTCTTAGGTAGAACTATTTCGACTTTTTGCAATAGGGGTGTCACGTTTTCATTCTTGTTCTCAGAAAATTTTAAGTCGTAGCACTTCTCGACAAATGAGAAATTCGCTCTACTGAAAATGACTTCTTATTATCGGAAAATCGAGTGTTACAAAAATTTTGCCGTTACGGAAATCACGCATAATTTCCCAAAAGTTTGGGGGGTATGCCTTTCCTTTCAAGCATGTCTATATATCTACATGATAGAAAGATTCCAAAAATTACGGAAATTTCAGATTCTGTAAATAATAATTTCCAAAACTACAGACCAATGGGATAGAAATTTCGTAGTCATTTCGACAATTGCAGATTCAGTGAAAAGAAATTTCTGACAAAATTTCTGTTTCATTTCCGTACAGCATTTCCATGTAAAATACCATAGACATGATATCAAAAACAACGATGTTTCTTATTCATCAGTAGACGTGCATGTAAAATCTGGTGTTATTTTCCATCTGAACAAAACAAATATCTCGCTGTGAAGATAAGGAATAGAAAGCATCTAACGAAGTTGAACTCAAAGAAGACAGAAATGCAATAATTTTCAAAACAATTATGAAATTGCAGTGTAGTCTTTCGCAAGAAGTCAAGTATCTCAAATGGCAATTGATGATAGTGTTTCTGTCACGTTGTGGCGATTCTTTCATTGTGACAAATGACAGAATGAATCCAACCAACATGTCAAAACATGGGTTAGAATTTTTCCTGTTACTAAGCAAAGTTACATCAGATTCCTATTTTAGTTTCATAAGAGCATGTGTTAAAATGTTTTCTCTACGAATCCGAGAGGGAAATTATTTCGCCGTCAAGTCGATGACGATTCGGCAGGTGATCTTATGAAGCTTGGCGAGTTCCAACATTTCTCGTACATCTTTGCGTGTGCCAACAAGAGAACCAATCAGTTGAATGCCACCCAAAACGAAATCAAGAACCGATACAGATGTTTTGCTACTGGGCAAACCAACAGCCACAACACGACCTCCATGTTTCACCGATTTGAATGCTTCTTCGTAGACTTGAACCAGAGGAGCGGTAACGATTGCTGCTTGAACGCCTCCCACACGTTCTTGAACCCATTCGTCATGCTTATCGCTGGGACCATCGTAGACTAAGCAATCAAAGAAACAAGTCTCAAAGATGACAAATTTCTAGAAGAAGTCGAACGCTAATGAATCATCGTTTGTTGTAGTAAATCAATTTCTTTCGACTTTGATTTAGCAGTGAAAAATCAAAACAACTGATACATTAGACATTGGAAATAAATCTTCAAAAAGGTTTGTCGACGACTTGACCCACTATAAAATGTAATGTATCATCTATCACTGAACACTCACGCTTACTTTCAAATTCATACGTATCGTCTGTTAAAATTTTATTTCAAAATCGGTCTCGTGTGACAGAATCGGACACTTCACAATCGATTCTATTCTAAAGCTATGCTCCTATCGGACTCCGAATAAAATCTTCGCTTTAGTGAACAAATCAGTTGTCATAATATCTCACACTTGCCTTCTTCTGCTCCCATCTCTTTGGACAGTTTCACGGCAGTCTACCAACAGAAAACAAACGATTAAAAGTGAACCAAACTGTGTCGGAGAATTTCTAGAGTGATGTTGCCTATTTTGGTGTATAGGTTCCGTGCATCCATTTATCAATCTTACTTTGTCATTTGGAGCGACAACAGTCAACATTCGCATTCCCATAGCAACGGCATATTTCACACCCACCGATCCTAAGAGAATCACACTTGATTTGATTCCGTCAAAGTAATAGAGGTGTGGGTGTGGGTGTGTGGTGTGTGTGTTTCTAATTAGATTCGCACAACATCCACACCCTCAATTTTTGACCAATTTTTAGCCCATTCTTTATGCAGTTGTTGGTTACGACAAAAGATGTATATGGTGTCAAGCTTTGGCATTGCGTAAATATCTGGTACGAGATGTTGGTCAAGTGCACCAAAGGAGATAATGAATGATGTCTCCTCCTTATTTTCATTGAGTAGTTCAATGCATTCTTTCGCCATGGTGCATGTATGCACTTCATTGACAACCCCGCGTAATTGCTCGAGCGTATGTTGATAATCTTCCTTTGCCATGTCCATATTTTCATCAACCCAGATGACGAAATAATTTTCAGCCATGCATCGTCTTCGTTTTCTACTCATTTTGAAAGAGACTGTTGCCATTTGCTCGGTAATGGAGTATGGTACAATAATAAATTGCTGCTTGAACAGAGTTTACCTTTTGTATTTATATATTTGATATTTGTTGTTTTTCTTTTGTTTTTTCTATGACGTCAAATGTGGGTATTTTTTTTCGTTGACACTCAAGGACAACTTCTATCTAGTTGCAATCGGTGATATGGTTGTCAATAATAAATGACAGTGGAAAAAAACAACAACGTCATTTATTTTATGACTATTTCTTCCAACTTTCTATTTACGTTTCATTTGAAGCGTGACTAAAATTTCATTGCATTAGATAAATTTTCGGATACGTCGTATATTTTTCTTTCATTCTTTCAAAATAACCTTTTTTCTCTCTCTCTCTCTTTGGCGAGAACGAAAAAAATAGCAATCACATCGTTAGTTTGATTTTTTTCTCATTATGCATATGTTCGGCATGCTGATAATGTGAACGAAACATGAAGAAAAAACTTCAACTTTTATTGAGGCAACAATCAAACAACAGTTTATATTTGCGGAATATACTGCTGATTATTAACTAGTGATTGAAGTAAAACATGCAAATTATATCTAGAAAACCACTCAAACTACTACCGAATAGGTATACAATAATTTAAGAGCTGCCTAATTGCAGTTATGGGTTTTAGTCGTGCTGTGTTCAGAATGTATATATTATCATTCACAATTTTACTAAAGTGATTTTTGATTTTTTATATATTTATTCGGAATAGGTGTTTAATTAAAAAAATATTTGTTTTCTTATAGTATTGCAACTGTTCTTGTTTCTTTAATTTCGACGATTCATAAAGAAATAATATTCAAATTATGTTTGTTCACATTTAAGATTCATACAATTTTAACATACGTCATAATAAACATAGTACGAAACATCTTTTTATTGAAAACTATTTCTACTTGTATGTATCTTTTTTAATGCAAAAGCAACAAAAACAAAAAACTATCAATACATTGCACACGTGACGTCTTTGTTCAAATACACAACTGTGTTCCTCGAATAATAAACAGTAGCTGTAACGTTAATTAAATGAGTGATTCTTTTGAATTTCTTCTGAAAATACAACTATGACAGACAAGATAGATCAACACAAAAGTTCATTAACAACGAAACGACGAAAGAGTCAATGAAATAAAAAATAAACGCAGAAATTTTTATCATTGTTGCCATCGATTTTTTTTTCCGTTCGTGTCTGTATAGTGAGTGAAAATGTGACGTGCAACTATGCAAACAAAGGACTAGAGAAGAAAAGAAACACAATATTGTATTTTTCTTACTTTCTTTTTGTGTGATTGCATCTCATGAAGAATTTTTTTTTGTCAATATCTATATGTTGCTCTGTCGTGCTGGTAATTTTGGAATCCATCAAAATACATTAAAAATCAATTCAACGCTGTTAATTACATTACTTTCATTCAGTTTTTCTATATGGTCATTGGTTTTCAAGTGTCTAATGTCACGAATATCTATAGACTTAGTATGATGGGCATCATATTGAAAGGACCATTAAAATCGAACGAATGTTCAAGATCCAATCTTTTAGAGCTTAGATTTGTTTTTCCAAGCAAGAAGATTTAAAAGTCTGTCATAATATAAATAGATTTTTTCGGAAAGTTTCTTAGT